GGAGAGCAGGGCTGGCCCGGGTGCATGCAGATCCCGGGGTCCCACACATGGTCACAGCAGGATGCACAGGCGAGTCTGGCCCCAGGATTCCACCCACCCCCACCCCCCTCCTCTCTACTGTGTAGTTGCATACTGCCTGGTTGGTAGACATACTCACACAGTGTGAGCGTGTCTACCAGCCAGGCAATACGCAACTATATACTGATACTGATACTCGTCATGATAATAATAACAACTTAATTAGAAAATACAAGACATTTATATGTCTGGTATTTTCTCAATTTGTTTTCTGGACAGAAAGCTCAAACTCCTCTCTACTGTGTAGTTGCATACTGCCTGGTTGGTAGACATACTCACACAGTGTGAGCGTGTCTACCAGCCAGGCAATACGCAACTATATACTGATACTGATACTCGTCATGATAATAATAACAACTTAATTAGAAAATACAAGACATTTATATGTCTGGTATTTTCTCAATTTGTTTTCTGGACAGAAAGCTCAAATACCAGACTGTCCTGTTCAAAACCGGACACCTGGCAATTCTACTAGCTCACCACCCAAATCCCTGCACCCTTTCCTGTACCTCAATTCCCTGCTCTAGGTTGCAATCCAACCCACCCCAACTCCAGACCAGTGCCCCAGCTCACAATTGCCTCCTTCACCCATACTCCCTCCCCTTATTACAAGCTCCCTTATGCACCCGACCTCCATCCCAGACACTGCACCTCCTCCATTAATGTAATAGAAGAGTGCGGCCCTCAACCATTTTCCAAATTCTTGGAGAGGTCCCCCATCAAAAATTATTGCCCATCCCTGACGTAGATGGTGCTTGGTCCTGCAGTGAGGGCAGGGGACTGGACTTGATCTCTCAAGGTTCCTTCCAGTTCTAGTATTGTATGATTCTAAGATTCCTTCCCTAGTACAAAAGTGGAAAGAGAAGGGAGCTAGCTAAGCATTTAAATTTTGGTTCAATGCAATAAATAGACAAATAGATTAGTACTCTTAAATGTTTCATTTTTCAAAAAAAGAATGTGTTTTTCCTACATTCCTTTGTCTTTAACCAGTTAGATCATAAGCTGTTGCAGGCAGGAACCTGAAAAGCATCTTAGTTTTGGGTTTATGTTCTGTGTAAGCAGTATGAATAATACATTAGATAATTCTCACAACAAGGTAGTTTCGGCTTCATTTTATAGACAAATATGTCAATGTTAAACGTATGGCGATCTCTTTTCAATTATTAGAATTTCTTTAAGGTTTTTTTAAAATAGAGGTGACACAAGTATGTTAAAGTGAGCTGGCAACCTTTGGCAAATTATTCTACTGTTTGACTGGCCTCACTATCAGAATTTTTTTCTGATGTCTAATTACATTTTTTTTTCAAACATAATAATTAAGTACATATTTCTTTTATGATGTCAATCGTGTATTACTACTCTATCAACTTTTTTTTCTGTTTTTTTTCCCCCTTAATATCTGTTCTTCGGTCATATACTCCTTTAAATTTTTTGTGGCTGCTCTTGCTGTTTCCAGGAACAATTGTCCTTCCAATATATTTTGTATCCTGGTATTACTGTGTCTCATTGATTGTCCTCATTCCACCAAGTTTCTGTGATGCCTGTTATATCAGTATCCTTCTTTGATATCAGAGGGTATGTCTACACAGCAACATTATTTCAAAATATCTAGTGTTATTTCAAAATTACCTAGTCTGTATCTACACACCTGGCAGTTATTTTGAAATAATGTCAAAATACTGCCTAGCTGGAGGACTTCTTACTCCAACTCCTGTAACTCTTATTGTATAACAAGTAAGGAAAATTGGAGGAAAAGCACTCTATTTTGAAATAAGTGCTATGTAAATGCTCCCAATTTTGAAATAAGCTATTTCAAAATAAGGTATGCAATTGATGAGTTAAGCCCTGCTGTGTAGACACACCACCTTTCTTTCTTATCAGCTTTAGATTTTTACAAATGAATAAGAAAGGAGGTACAGTTAGTTGTGACTTTTTGGCCTCCTTACTTACCAGTAGTTGGAGCACTGTAAACTTGAAATAAGATACGCAATATGCGCTATGCAAATTGTGTATGTAATTTCATTTGTATTTGAAATAGACTATTTCAAAATTTGGCACATCTACACAGCACCAAATTTGAAAATATTATGTGATTTCGAGACATCCCATAACCCTCGTGGAATGAGGGTTACCGGGATGCTGAAATAGCACTCCCATTATTTGAAAAATATTTTGAAATAACAGGTGGCTTATGAAAACATGGGTTATCTCGAAATAGCCATGCAGATTAGATGTACCCAGAGACAGAATGCTGGTCATTCAGGATGTTTCCTTTCCTTGAATGGGAAAAGGACAACTCTGAAAAAAGTTAACTTTTTAAATATAAATCTTTAATTTATCTTGTTTTGTACTAATCTATATGATTTTTCTTACATTTCAGAAGAAATAAACTGACAAAAATTGATCTTTAGAAGACTGGAAAAATCGTGGAGATTTTGCTATGGATGCTGTAAATGAAAACCATTTTTATCTAGACAAAGTGTGGGTTCAGTGTGAGATTAGCAGTTGTTTGAAATGGAGACTGCTATCAAGTGATGATGCTGCACAAGTTGATCACAGTGAGCCATGGTATTGCTATATGAATACTGACCCATGGTTTAATAATTGTTCTGTTTCTGAGGAATATTTTCCTGAAGAATCTGAATTTAATAAAAATGGATTTAAGTATGTCTACTCAGAACTTCCTGTAGGAAGTCTAGTTTTGGTGAAAATGCATAGTTGGCCAAGGTAAGGTTAGAATTGTTACAGTCATAACTGTAAAAAAAGTAAGATATCTCTTCATTTTGTAATTGTCACTTAATTTGAGGTCTACAGTTCAGTTCTCCTTTGAAAAGTAAAATGGATCAGAAATGTAATACTTTCTGTTTCTCAGTGATTTGCGGATGTAATTTTCTCAGGACATAGGTAAGATGATTTTTACCACTCGCTATGATCCCTAAAAACACATATGGATTTTGAGAAACAATTGGAGTTCTTTCCTTTCATAGTGAAATTAACTATGGGGAAAAAATACATCTGTGCAATTCCATTGTTTCCAAATTACACACTCAGTGGGCACGTCTACATAGCAGGGGTAAAGCCAAAATAAGCTGTGCAAATTGAGCTACGTCAATTGCATAGCTTCAGTTGAAATAGCTTATTTTGACTTTTGGCACGGTCTACATAGAACTCTTCCTCTGACTTCCCTTACTCCTTATAAAATGAGGGTTACAGGAGTTGGAGTAAGAGGTCCTCCAGCTCGACATTATTTTGACATTATGTCAAAATAACTGCTTGCAGTGTAGCGGCGGACTATGTTATTTCAGAATAATGTCAGTTATTCTGAAATAACGCTGTTGTGTAGACATAGCCTCAGTGACACCAGTGTAATCCCATTGCATTCACTAAGTTTGCACAGTTGTAGCTGGATAATACTTAGGGTATGTCTACACTGCATTCCTCTTTCAAGAGAGGAATGCAAATGCAGCTGAGCGAAATTGCAAATGAAGCGAGGATTTGAATTTCCCGTGCTTCATTTGAATAATCGCATCCTGGCGCTATTTTAAAATACCCTATTTCGAAAAAAGAAACGCTGTCTAGACATGATTATTTCGAAAGAAAATCCTTCTTTTGAAATTACCCTTAAACCTCATTTTATAAAGAGTAAAAGAGCTACCTCTTTGAAACGCCATGGGGAGCTCAGCATCAGGCTCCACATGACGTTTCAAAGCAGCCTTCATGTTCCTGCAGCGTGGACGGTGCCAAAATTCAAGTTAAGATACTTTGATTTAAGCTACGTAATTAATGTAGCTGAAGTTGCGTATCTTAATTTTAACGTATCCCCTAGAGTAGACCAGACCATAAAGAAGCAAAAAAGAGCAAAATTTCAGTTTTTCAAAAATCTTTTGCAGTGAATTTTTAATTACTCTTATATGTAACATTTTGTACTTATGATGTTTTTGTTTGTGTTGTTTTTTAAAAATCTATAAATATTCATATGGTTTGGAGCCTGCTTATCTCAGAGATTATTTATATATGTACTATCACAACAGCTGAGATCCATTTAGCTACATTAGCTAACAAACCCTAAATGTGAACCTGAATGTTTGCACAGGAGCAGTTTTTTGCTTTGGAAGTTCCTTCCACTGTTGATTCAGGAAAGTATAGAAGTACGCTGAAGTTCAGTGCATAATATAAAGGGTATCCTTTTACTTAATACTTGAGTCAGTTACCTTCGCTCATGTGAAGTAGTATCTCACTCTGTAAGTGGTCTGGCTGGTTTCGGGACTGTTTGCAGAGTATACTATTCAATAGAAGTAGAAGTGGCAGATTCTAGCCATTATGCTTTTGTGTGAGGGCTAGTACTTGGGTGGGACAAGTGTTTGTGTGATGTGAGAGGTTCACTGTACCCTTCCTTGGGTATATATCTGTGCCTTAGTTTACTTTTCTGAGGCTCTGGGATAACCACACATCACAAAATGTTTCTAAATAAAAATGTACACTTCTGATTTATGAGTTGTCAAAATCTGTTTAACCTTTCACCCTTGTATTCAGCTTCCCAAGTTTAATTGGCCCATCCCTAGGGCTTCACAGTGACCTTAGGTCAGAATTGGGGCTTCCCATGTCTCACACAATATTCCTCTTGTTCACAAGTACTTCTGCTGAGACTAATGCAGACTCCTGACTGATGCTAAACAGTCAGCAGCTGTCCTTCTGCTGTCTCTCTAGAGAGCCCCACACTATCCATTTCTCATGTCCTGGCCTCCCCCATTCTGAGCTTAGAATACTGCTTTACATAGTCCTGACAGCCAGTCACATGAGCCTGAGTCACATCCTTCCTCTTGAGTCTGTTTGCACAGTTGCAAAAAATCTGTGATCCATCCTGAAGCAGAATGTTAACACGCTTTCTGCCAACATTGTGGTGGGGTCTTTACAGTCCATTATAATGTGGATTAAAAAGGGAGTTCTTTCCCTTTTTCAATTTTTTTTATTATTTGCTTTTAACATTTTTCTTTAATTATATATACATGAAGAGGTTATCATGGAATGAATAAAAAATAATTCTTTCACAGCCGTATTTTCCCTGCTTATTATAATGTGTGTTTCTCCATCTCTTAATACAAGTACCTTACCCCAAATATTTCTTTTGGTCAGACTAAACAAATATTAGGTCATCACCTATCTTAATGAAGAAAGTAAGGCTTCCACATGTGTAACCAATCAATGTAACCTAGCCCAGTATATTTTCAGTGCTAATGAGAGACTTTTTCTAAACCATGCAATGAGGCAGGGGAGAGGAACCCAATTAATTAAAATGTCCACTAGGACAATCCTAGTTGGAAATCAATTCTCCCATATCTGTCCCTTTCATGTTTCTCTTATTTTTTTATAATTATATTTGTCAAATTGTTAAGGACAGTTTCCAGCAAATAATCCTGAAGGTGATCTCTTATCCCCAAATTACAAAAGAGAACTAGGAACTCAAGTGAGCTGAAAAATTAAACTGATATAATTATCAGTCTTCAGCATCACAAGATATTGGCATGTGTGGGCTCATCTGACCTCTTGTGACAAAACTATTGTTACTAGTATACAGACAGTCCCCGACTTACGCGAATCCGACTTACGTCGGATCCGCAGTTACAAACGGGGCTGCCCCAGAGTACACGGACTGCGGGACCTCGCGGTCCTGCCGCCCGTGTACTCCGGGCAAGAAAAGCTGCTCCACGTCTCCCTGGTCTGCAGACCAGGAAGACGCGGAGCAAAGCCGCTGCCCGAGCCCCCGCAGCTTTGCAAAGCCTCCGGGAAGCCGGCAGCGGGGCAGCCCAGACACCCCGCGGCC